GCTGGTTGCCCCCAGGCTCCAGTGGAATCCAGACATATTACTGAATGCACAGATTTCGCAGCTGACATGAGTCAACACAGGAACACAGGGACGGTTTAAAGTGGTACCAAAATCAATCCAGTGCACAGTAATCATTTCTATAAGCTCAGCTGCACATATCAGCGTTTCCACTGTCACAAAGTCACAATCGCAGAGTGAAAGAGCAAGTGTCTTCAAGCCTGGGAAAGTGGCATCTGTGAGGGGAGACACTGGGAGGCAGAAGCAGCTGGGGCATTGGTTCCAGTCCTGGCTATCTGCGTTAACGCTCAGGCTGGGGAAGGCGAAAGGGCAGGCACTGCTCAGTGGTCAGACATCAGGACAGCGAAACAACTGTTGAGGCATCGAGTGCGAGGGGGCGTGCTGTGTGATGTCTTTGTCAGGGAACTCTGGCTGGAGGGAGGCTTGTTGCCCAGAACGTGTGAAAAGAAAAGCTCAGATAGTTAGGGGCAAATGCTGGGAGCGGCCAGTCTGACAGCGAAACATCTGCTTCACAGAAGAGTTAAAAAGATTACTCGGACTTGCACTCAGGTTCGCAAACTCCATTACTCGGAAGATGAACACAGAAGGAGAACGAAAGGCTTCATCATCCAGCATCGCATGATGGAGAGAGAACAAGTGACACCCTGGACGGGGAAGGAGCCTTACGTATGAGAATTGCTGAACCCCAAGCTGAAGGCACGGTGAAGGGATCCTTAATACCTTGCGCCTTTTCTGTGAAAAGGGTACTCATTATAAACTGGATTCCTCTGACATAGGACACCCTGAAATTGACTGAAAGGGAGGCTCTTGGAAACATTTTTATGTAGTGAAATTTTCAGTTGGCTGAATGATCTCAATTGTGGTTTTCTGTACGTTCTGAATTAGTGGCCTTCAAATGGCTGGGCTTTTACTGTAGTTGCAAGCAGGCTGGTTGCAGTATGTCTAAATTAGCTAACGATACTGATGAGGATTGGCAGAGTTCAGTGGGGAGGTGTGCTTGTTGTTGAACCGGCGAAGTCCGGAAGCGGAGCTCGACTGCTCCTCAAACTGAGAAGCGGCCCGGCTGCCCAGCTCTGCACCTCAGCCTTGGCTGTGAGTAGACACAGACGGAGTCTCAGGGAATCCAAGAGTCTCTCTCCATCACCTCTCTTTCTCGGACAAAAGACTCATCGAGAGGCAGTGTTGATTGTTTTCCTTCTCCTGGGCTGCTATTTGGTGATCAAAAATCCAGAGAGAAGGGAAGCATCTGGCTCCAACTACTTAACAAAAAGACACTTTCTGTCCCCAACCCCTCACATTTGGGCTACCAGAAAGCCAATGTCTATTTTCCGCAGCACCCTAAAGAATTCACACTAATGGCTGTGCAGGGGAGTGCACTCACCAGGCACCTGTGCACCCCACTCTTTCTCTTGTGCTTTCGTTTTGGAAATCCAAGGCAATGGGGGAGCAGGGGAGGGATAGGATTGCAATTGTTGTTTTAAAAAATCCTAAAAAGTTTTTGGTTGAAAACAAGCAACGGTCACCTTTCAGGGAATTTTTTTAAAGCCTTTTCTTCTTTTTAAATGAAAACCACCTAAATAACTAGCCTCGCCATTCTCAGAGTCATTAGTCATACATCGTTACACACACACACACACACACACACACACGGCCCAGGAGTGCTCGGATTTCCTTCAGCTGCTGACACCCACAGAACAAGAGCTGAAGCCTGAGGACTCGTGCCAAAAGATGTGTGAGTGGGGGTCCCAACAGGACCGAGGCCCACAGGATGGAGCTGCTTCGCCTTCTTCCAAAGGCAGCAACTTTGGGAGCAGCAGGCTAATCTCAGCATTTCTCCTTGCGCAGGGCCCTGTCATCAGGCTGCCCAGTCCCGGGAGGTGACATCCTTCTCTACAGACCGGATTCCTCCTAGTACAAATATAGCCACACACCGGCTATTGTTTCAGATAAGCAATGAGGAAAGGCAACGTGCACACATGTCTCACACACACACGTCTAAAAACAACAAAAATGTGCCTCCTGAAGAGTTAGCATTGTATCAAATCAACATCCATACAAAGACAGAGTTTGAAAAGATATGTACAGGGCATTTGTAAAAGCCAAATGTGCACCGCGAGGAGTTATGCCCATTGTGTACTGTGTGGTCTGTTTTCTTCACTATGATGCAAAACCCACCCCGGAGACCACAGCACAACCCCATCTGGAAGAATGCTGGGAAGCACCTGGACTGGAGACCACAAGCCTTGAAGAACTGTCTCTAGCTCTCCGCAAGGCCCATCCTGAGTCCTTATTGGACACGGGCTGCCCTTTCCAGGTCAGGTCCCAGGCTTCTGCTGTCTCCCATCATCACCCAGCTTCAAAGTACTGGTCAACTCGGTAGGAAAGAAAGGGCTCTTGGCATATACTCCTTTTGTCTCTGGTCAGTGGGACCCAAGTCCAGCTCTCTGCCCCCTGAGGAAAAGGTACATTGGAGTAAGCCCCTCCTCCTGCACTTGGTTACACTCAGGCACCTGTTTGAGAAAACACTGGGAGAGTCAGGCTGCCCCCCAGTTTCCAGCTTCCCCAGAACCTCCAACATGGCCAAATGGCTTGGCCACAGCCTCCATCATGGAAAACAGCAGAGGCCCTCTGGGCCCAAAATCCCTTTGTGAGGAAAAACAGGGAAGGAAAGAGGAACAAAGGAAATGAGGAATGCCTCCCCAGCCTCAGGGAGATTTTTTGGGAAAGGGCAGAGGGAACAGAAAAGGCCAACTGGCAGGAAGCTACCTCTCCAGGTCCAGACTCAATATCCGGGGCATATGAAAGCATCATCTATAATCCCCGTATTTCTAGAAGAATCTTCCTAAGGGGAAATGCCACCGGCCCCCTGGTGCTTCAAGGACTTCATGGGCATTAGCTCAGTCACCTCCAATGCGCCTGTGAGGTAGGGGGAAGGATGGAAAATCCCAGGTGCAGGGCTAAAAAAACAAGCCTCTGACTGGGAATGCATCCTGGGGTCAGTCGCCAGCACTGGACGGGCCCCTGGAAGTCATCTGTGGCCTCAAAGCCCCTGCATTCAGGGAACGAGTGCTGATGTCTGCCTCGACAAGCTGTCTGGACAGAAAGGAGCCTGTCGACACAGTGCCTTTTAAACCACTGTGGCTGCCAAAGACCCAGGTTGTGCACTCTTTGGGATCCCACAAAAATTTGCTACATTTTTTAAAGCACCACAGAGGAAAAGTGGTTTAGCGGTGAGGCCAGGAGGATGGAAGTAGGGGTGAGAGGGGGCGGCAACAACAGTGTCTTTTGCATGGTCTTTGACAGTGAAAGTCCAGATCTCCTCTGCCCCACTGCTGTCCAAAGCCTCTCTGAAAATAGACCAGCACCAGGGCCCTTAACCAAGACGTTTTTAAAAAGGGACACTTTGGAATGTTTTCCCCAGGTGGCACCATCATTAAAAAGAAAAACCATCTATCTAAAGTTCAACAAACCTACTCACAAAAAGGAAAGTGTCCTAAAAGTTCAAAGCCAGAGAGCAGAGTGCCAAGAAGGCCAAGTTCATTGGTTTAATGGTCCTATGGATGATCAACTGCAGAAGGAGAAAACAGCAGCTCTCCGTCCCAGCCCATACTCCCACCCGCTGGGGGCCAGGGTCTCCACTGCCAGGGTCCGAAGCATCACTTTGCTCCATGATGGAGTGCCTCACGGCCGTGAGTGGCCCGATGCCTGTGGGTAGTGGTTTTAGCACAACTCGCACACAGCTCTGGAGTGCCAGGGTTTGTGGAGGGGCACACACATGAGAAAGAGAATGGCAAAGTCTTCGTGGACCCTTGGTCAAGGTGGAGGAGGGGAGCTCTGGCTCCTGCCCCTGCTCCTCACCCCTCACGCCCTCTTATCCTCCTGTCAGGTTGCTCCCCCACGCTCTTTTCCACCTGGTCAGCAGTATGTGGAGGGAAAAGGCAGCCCGAGAGCTGTGCAACTGATTCCCCTGGGCCCCTTGTGACTGGCCCAGGCAGTATGGTTTAGTTCTCTGGTGTTTCTCATTTCTCTGTCTGTTACTCCTTGCTTTGTTTGTTGCTCAGTCCTTGCCCATGTCCTCACCGCATAAGCAAGGACAGAAAACACAAGACTGTGGCGGAGAAGGGGAGCTGAAGGGCGACTTGTCACCCCAAGGGCCCAGAAACCCGTGAGTTGCCAGCCAGTCACACAGCCCCACAGTCCCCACACCCGAGCCACTGTCGATACAATGAGGTGATTCCTTTGGCATAAGGGAAGTCAGTCCCCAGTGGGAGCACAGAATGGTGGGGGCTTGGGCAGCTTCTGGAAGAGCCGGGCTGTCAGGTCTGAAGCTCTTTCTGAGGGTGGGAGTGGGCTTTGACTCATACGTGTTCCCCACCCCCGATTCTCCCCACCTGTCTCTGACAACTGACTTCCTAAAAATCCACGGTTAGGGAATTATTTGGCAACAAGGAGGCTAAGGCTGTTTTGTGGTGGCACAGTCTTTAAAAAGTTCAGAAGGAAACAGGAGGCCAGGACGCACGTCCCACTACTTGTCTGCGCCAGGGCTGGCGGCTACTATCTCCTCGTACTTGGGGGGCGGGTCGCTGTAAGAGACACTGGCCTCCTCACTGCTGCCCTCCTGAGGCGCAGTCACCTCCTCGTAGGACGGGGGAGGGGTGGCGCTTGACAGTCTGGAGAGAGAAAGCTCAGGGAGGTAGAGGGTGCTCTCAAGGCGGACTGTGGTTCTACCCCCGCGACTGGGCGCCAGCACCACCTGTGGGCTGCTGCCTGCCTCGCGGTGCCCCGAGGACTCCCCCTGGCCATGCACAGTGCCCCGGTACACCATGACCCGGGGGAGGCTGTGCCCGGCGCGACTGGCCAGGTACCGGTTCTGAGCATACGAGGGGTGATGGCGGGTCGCCTTCTGCAGCTGGCACCTCCAGATGATGAACAAGGCAATGACGATGAGCAGCGCCACCCCCAGAAGCGGCACCACCACGTACATGGCGTCTGAGCTCTGCGACGGGTCTCGCACTGAGTAGACTGCATTGGGGTACCCTTTCCAGAACTCCATCTGTGAAACAAGAAGGAAAGGTCACTGGCACCGGGCAAGAGGCACGCAGTGCCTGTCACCAAAAGCTCACTGTCCCAACTGAACTCAGAGGCCGCTTCCCATCCTGGCTCTGTGTGGACACGCCCCCCAGGAGCCTCAGGCTGTGGGACTGGAAGGACATTGCCCCCGCCCTCCCACCTCCCCACACACCCCGCTCCGCTAGTCTCCTGCCCCAGGTGGCTTCCTTGCTTCCAACTCCTCCAGGGAAGCAGGGCCAATTCTGCTTCTTGCTCAGGCTCCTCCCACTCCCAGCTTCCAGCCCCAGGGTGGTACATGCCGTTTTCTCTTTGTTTTCAAACACCTCCTTGACCTCCTCGTAGCTGCAGATCTCCTCCATGCACTCCCGCTCAATGGTGCCCTGGCGCAGCTCCTCCAGGAACTCATTGGCACGAGGGAAGCGCTTCAGGACCGAGTGGGCATTCCTGGCCTCCAGAAACACTGAGGAGAGAGCTACACTGAGACCCGGCATGCGTACGGGCCCAGGCCCTCCTGCAAACCTGCCTGGCCCGGGCACTAAAGTATCGTTGTGGAGGGAAACAAGGCAAAATGAGCTAGTAAGATACCAGGGCCCCTGACCAAAGGACAGGGCGAGCCCTTTGCAAAAGGGACAGAGGGCATCAAATTATTCCTCTCCAGACTGCCCTGGCCCCAACAAGGCTCACATCCCTGGCAGCTGGGAAGGAATCAAGAAGCAACTAAGAAGGCAGCACACGTCACACAGGAGCAAGAATGAGGGCTGTGAGCCCCATCCCCACCCAGGAGTTATGACCCATACCTTCCGCATCAGCATGAAAAGAGAAGGCCGGAGCCCTTGTTGTGAGAATCCAGTCCTCTTTGAGGGTGAAGCTGCTGGGAGTAATTACTCTACCAGGGTGACGTCCCTCCACCTGAACTGGCCACCTGTGCCAGCAGGTCACCTGGAATCAGTGGTCCCTCTTGAGACAGCCTAGTATAGAGCCAAGCTGGGGCAGAGCAGGGGAATGCATGCATAGATCCCCTGAGAAACAGTCATTGACTGGTGCCTATAGCGATTTACTCCAAAAGGAGAAATTCAGCTGTGACCAGGCTGACTGGCATGGCATGAGCTTCGCACTGCCATGGGCCTGAGCTGACACATTTGCTCCTGGTATTCCCCCAGAAGAGGGACTTCCTGTCTGTGCTGACAGGCAGCAACCTTGCTCATGCCCCTTGGCCTGTCAGTTTAGTATGTCTCTTAGAGGCCTGGCTAGATACATAGCCACTGGCGAGCATACTTTGCAGGAAGCAACTGTGCGATGTTGGAAAGTGAAACTGCTTCTCAGCCAATTAGACAATGGCTCCTGGGCCTACCCAGGGGCAGGAAAGCAGGAAAGGCATTTCCCATGAGCCCCTGGGCATGGCCCTCCACCACTCTGCCTGGACCTGGAATAACTCACCTGCCATGTTGCTGCCTCAGCTCCAGCGTCTCACCTGCCTGGCAAAGACAGAAGCAGAGCTGCAGTGAAGTCACAGCCAGAACTGCATAGCGCCCTCCTGGTCCTGGCCTGGTCAGCAGGTCAAAGCAGAGCCCTGTGAAGTGTGGCCTCCTCTGGAGAGCCCACTCGCAAGCTCCTACTGCTTCCCACGCTCGCTCCTGGAGGCCCAGCAAACACCTCTTCAAAACGAAAACTCCCACAGTCTGAGGGTCCTTCCTCCTCACGCCCCTCAATAAACCTTGGCGCCTTTGCATTGGAAAGGACTTCAGAGGCAGAGAAGGAAACAAAGTCCACAGAGACGGGGATTGAAGCAAGATTAAGGAACTCTACAGTGACAGAGACAGGACCTGGATTAGGAACCGATTTTGATCACAGTTGCAAATCCCCGATAACAACAAGCACGTTCCTTGAAAACCAAGATGTAACACAGCAACAACCACCATGTCAAGTGTCACAGCCTGGCTGGGACTGGCCTACAATGATCTTTGCTAGACACCCGTCCGGCAAGGTCAGATGCTGCACACAATCACAGCCACGGTCTTAACAACTCCCAGACAAACACATAAGGCCCCAATTCAGATGACCCATTGTGTTCATCTTCACCACAATCAGGCAAGCTACCCAAAAGCTTCTGGAACCAGGCACGTCTCCTTTCCTTGCACTAGAGACCAGTGTAGTAGAGTACCAAGGCAAGAATTTCAGTGATCAACACTGAGCCACTAACTAGAAGACGTGCCTCTAATGTGAGGTACTACCCAAAAGTCTTTCTCCTATAAGGAGCTATCCAGCCAGTACATAAGCCATGGACACAACTCACAGCTCCTCCTGCTCCTGCCCTGCCCACAGCACACACTCCCACTCATACACGTATTCCAGAGTGCTGGCCAAGCCGTCCACATCTGTGAGCAATCACCCCACTGCTCCCCTCCCCAAGCAGAAGCGCTGGCTTTATGACTAACGGGACGCAACATACGTGAGCTTGTGTAACCCATTGTGCTGCCCTTTTGCCTGCATTGCCAGAAAGTTCCGTCTTGATATGGTCAAGCCCCGGCACCCTGGCAGTCCAGCTGTTTAAGCACATCTGTTTCTTGTGATGTGCTATACAGTTTTCTGTTTAGGTCTTCAGAGACTTCTTTGTACACTTGTAATATGATTTCTAATCCTTTTGGCAAACAGGTAAGCTACAAATCACAAATAAATGTAAAACTCAAGGGAAAATGGCAGATGGAACATTTATCTGTGGCAATGCCATGTCAAGAGGCCTTCTCTTCTGCATGCTGCCATAAAACTCCCAACACTGTCAACATGTGAGTTTGTTCCCAGATGAGCCTGCCATTTTGAGAAAAGTGGCTCTTTTTAAGAGCAAAGATGGAATGTTGTCTAAAATTTCCTCTTTCTTATGGGTCTCAGGTCCACGTGGGTATGAATATAGTATGCTTAAGAGAAAGGTTTTTGACAGAAGAGCAATGGAGCTGGGGGGTCAATGTATGAAAAAAGAATGAGTTAAGGTTTTACTAATGAGGGAAGATAGAAAAATATGGTTGATTGTTTATGGAAGATAACTGCAATGTTTTTTTTTGTAATTATGTGGAAAAACCACCGAATAGCTTAACGCCTCTTGTTCCAAACACATCTGACTTCAGTGCATGCACACCCACCCGTCACAGCACCAAATGTGCATTATCCTGTCACCTGCAGAAGTCATCAGTTCAGTAAGCTTCACCCCAGCCAGGAACTCCCCAGACAGCTCAGGGAGCACTGCCCACTCCATTAGCGATTCTGTAGCCACCACCGCTGCTGCTGCTGCCGCCTGCCATTCGGCCTCCACCCCTTCCCTCCCCAAAATTTAGCGCCTGCTTCTTCCCCTATAAATACAGCATCAATAGGCAGTTACTATGGCAACAGGGAGGAAGCGTGAGGGCTCCACGACAGAGAATGCTGCTGCAGTCACGCATGTCTATGTCCCTCCTGCCCCTGGTGGATACTGTAAGGCTGAATGTTTAACCCCCTCCCCACAGGAACACAGCTGAATCCCGCCAGCCTGGAAAAAGGAAGGAAGGCAGGGAAGTGGCCACCACAAAGACTTTCCTTAACCCCACCCCGGGCGAAGCTTCTGAAGCACAGCGCTCTGGGACACAGCTCCCAGAGCCTCTCGCACAGCACCTGGTGTCCTGAGACGTGACCTCCAATCCCCTGCCCCGCAAGTCCTAGCTCTTTTTATTTCCATCATTCGGAACTGATAGCCAGGAAAGGGTTCTGTGATCTCCAAATCTAATGACTCATCGACCCACCCAGCGACATGGCAACTCCCAAATTATGCGCAAACTCCCAAACTCCGGGGCCTCCTTGTCCCCTTCCACCCAATGCCAGTCTTGCAAGCGCCTGTCCTCACCCACCTTTGCCCAATACAAGCGCCCTGGCCAAGAACTACTTCTGGCCCAGCAACACACTCTTCTCCCGGGACTGCTCAACACCCCCACCGCCTTGGCCCGACTGGGCCTCCAGAACCCACCCCTACCCCACCCCCAACAGTGCCCCGCACCCAACTCGGTAGCCCTGGACACCAAACCGTGCCCTCGGGGCTGGGGCACCCAATCCAAACGGCCTCACCGTTCTCCGGGCCCAGGAACGGCCGCCCTGTTTGCGCACGCAGCCCGCCACCTCGCTGCTGCGCCTCTTCCAGCAGGGCCCCTGTCCCCGCCCACCTGCCCCCCTTGGCCATGGCCTCTGGCGACTGGAAGAGAGTCCTCAAATAAAAGATTAGGACCTGTAACATCTAGGAACGGTTGACGAGAAAGCGTCAAACGCACAACCTACCTCACTGCGCTGCTCCCTCAGCATTCTGGATGTCTTGAATCGAACTGAAACTAACTGCATGCAGGGGCTCAAGAATGGCAGAAAATACATGAACAGCGTCCAGCACTTC